AAAACATTGATACTAAACCAGCCCCCCCCCCCCCCCCCCTAGGGTATTAATCACAAATCCCACCACAGTTTCAATTGCATTCTTATTTACCTACATTACAAATGATACTGCTACAGTCGTTCTCATTTAGTGATGCAGGAGGGAAATGGATTATTATTAAAAGCAAAAGGCATGTAGAACTGCATTCCTGAAATTAGGTTTATCAAAGTCATTGTCCATAAATGCAATCAGTAATAGAAATTTGTCTGTGAACTACCTACAGTATCCTGCACAAGCTGGACTGAGGTGGTTTCATAGTGGTGGAGTAAGGCTTACATCACCCCCATCTGGCCAGTAAAGGAAATCAGTGAAGTCCCTCTCTTGGCCCTTGGGTGGCAAAACAAAACAAAACTAATTATATTTTGGCCAAAGCACATATTTATAAGGAATCATTTAATGTTATACTGTAAAACACAAAAACACTTAGGTGGTGTGTCTAAGCCTTTCTATGGTAGGGAAACCCCTGAACACAAACAACTCACATTGCTGGTAGAAAATGTAACTGAACCCTTGGATTTAATAACTAGTTGAATGTCTCTTGGCAGATTTGGCTTCAAACGAGCATTTGTGGCAGCTGTGGTTCAGGTGTGCAATGTTCAGAAGAACTTTTAGACCATTCTTTCCAACAGAGCTGCTTGAATGTAGCCATATTCTGGTATGAACGCTCTCTGGAGGTCATTCCACAGCATCTTTACGGTCTGGGCTCTGACTGATTTGTTTGAACTGTAGTGTAAACGCAAGCTCAGCCACACAGAGACGGGTGCCCCAACGGCATATGAACATTGCATATATACTGCATGTGAGACTTTTTAAGACCCTCTTAGTGCAACTTTACTCATGCAGGGAACTTGCTGACCATAGTATACCCCATATCACTTAATGCCCTAGAATTTTGAAGTATCTGTACTTAAGTATGTTCATTTTCTGTTGCTTCATACTTTGACTTCACTACATTTCAGAGGCAAATATTTTAATTTCTACTCCACTACATGTATTTTATGACTTTAGTTACTAGTTACATCTCAGAACCAGATTAAAATATAAAAAATGCAGTATAATTATTAGACCCCATTGATCTACAGTGGAAGATTCACAAGCTACCCAGCAGTAATTCAAATTAAATGCATATAAGCTAGTTAAAACTACACATACCATCACAAAATGGCAAGGCTCATTTATATTGTATTGCCTATGAGCCTCCTAACACTAGCACACAAATGGACAAACAAAACATTGGCTGTCAGAGTTGCTTCAAGTTCTTTTTATTATTGCATTCATTTATTTCTAAAGTAAGGACAACTTACCCCATATATTTCAATTAATTTCAGCTTAATTGTGAAATAAGAATTTATTACATTTAAATAAAGAAGCCAGTAATATCAGAATTAAGAGTTTAAAGTAACAGTATTTATTTAGCTGCATTGATTAGATTTTTTTTAAATGGTTTGCCCTGTATTGTTAAATGTTGCCTAATGTAAAGCTAGATGGCAGCACAACACTCACGTTAGTCCTTCCACATCATAGATAACTTTCACTTTCCATTGCATTAAAGTTCAGCTAAAGCTAAATGACCCCCATGTTTTTGATTGGCTATGTACGACTTCTACCATTCAAGCAAATGTCTATTGTTAAGGCAGTAAGTATATGCTGTGATAAGGTACATAATTCACATGAACACAATTATTTACAGGTAAGATACATGAAATGCTTCATGTTAAAAATCAAAATGATGTTTAATATGTGGCTGGTGGTATAAAAATATAGTTATATTGTATGCTTAAATATGAGATCACTTTATATATCCTTATATACACATGGATAATTACATATTTTAATTTGGTATATTGTATAAATTGCACTTCACACACAGTTCACTACATTCAGTTCACTGGGGGGGGGGGGATTCTGAATGTGACAGTTTAGAGTCCAGTCATGTCAGTATCTTGAGACAAAAGGCTCCTCCTCTGTGGCCTCGGTTCCTCCTCAGTTCATGGGTATATCAGTGAAAGTCTTCAGGAATTGTCTGTCTCAGCTGCCAAGCTCACTTTAAAAACTGAAGAAGAGACACAGATTCTTGGTAAGTCCCACAGGTCTGACTTGAAGTCATCCATAAATCACACACTTGTTCGACACACTGAAACCTGCACACACAAGTTTCTCAGTATCAATTACTGGAATCTCTCTCTCACCCAGAGGGACCTCATCTTCATCTGATGGGCCGTACAGATGTAGCAGCCATTTTTTGTGTGCATCTAGTTGTAAATCTGTGGAATAAAACTTCTTAGGGGACTTATCTTTATCTGCTGAGAGCAAAAACCAAGGAGTCTGCTCTGCCTTTTCCATGCCTGTCTCAGGCCACTGTGGATGTGCTTTTGTGTCTGTGGACTTGCTGACCAGCTCCAGTGCTTCGCCCTTCTCTTCTTGTCTGGAGGGGAAGCTGTGCGACATCCAGAAGTGAGCGGCGTCGGCGTCCATAGCCTTTCGAGCCAATCTTGCTCTCAGGGGCTTTAGTCTCTTTTTCCTTGTTAATTTTGTACAGTAGGTCGAGCAGGTCGTGATATACACATGTGGGTAGGATGCAGCCGAATGGTTTGGAAGATCTGGATGATGATGACCTTCTGGGTCGGCTATTTAGCCCAAATCTGGAAAGGGTTTGGAAAATAAATATTTTTGCTCAGCTTTGAGGCTGCTTTTCAGGGCTGTTTGAATGTGATCTGGCAACACGCATGCTAACAGAATGTAAATCCAAATTGTCATTGAGATTTATGTAGATTCATCTAAATGTGTCAGTGCAGCAGAAGACAGATCATCCACTGTGTTCCATTGCCTACCTACTTCAGCATATCTATCTTTTCTCACATGATGGATATTGTGAAATTAAAGTTCCAGCTGAATTCCACACACACTTCCCTCTCCCCGTGTTTCCTATCAATTGCCGTCAGCTATCAGATGAAGTCAACAGTGCCCCCAAGATGTAGATTTTGTTACCTTGATGGAGGTGAGATCATTTTGGCATTCTCATCCTGTTGTGGTCCATCATAGATGTCAGAAGGCTGCTCATGGGCTGTCCCTAAACTGCTGTGCAGGTCTCTCTTCATTCGACTCTGCAGCCATACTTTAAACCTGCAACACAGAAACGAGAGGTTGTAATAGCGAGAACTGATCATTCAATGGCAAGAACTGAGGGTACAGACATGAACAGCCTTACACATATAACATATGGGATTTCATTTGATGTCAGTGTTGCTCACTATATCAATATGCAAGAATCTTCTAGGATCAGTTAGCATTGTTATGAAGAAAGGACCGTTTTTACTTATTTCTAGGAAATGTCATTCTTGAAAAAGGAGAATTGCCTAACCAATAAATAGGCATATTGCCACGGGCTGTGTCTAGTAACAAGTAATAGCAGTAATGAAATACCAAAGACACACTTGTACAGTGCCTCTCTTACAAAGTTTGTCCACCAAAGAACATAAACATTTTTTTTATGTAAAATTCCCTGCTGACAAAAAATTCAGACTACTATTCTACAGTAACCATGGGATCGTCATTAAAATGTTTTCTGTATTGCACAATTTACTCTAGTTTTTTTTTTTTTACATATAAAAAATAATGTGCTTAAGATACAATGTGCTTGTTGATCAGGTAGCTCACCTTTTCTTCAGGCTGGAGTTGAGCTCCCCTGTGGCGTCTTGTACCAGTGGCAGGACCAGGGTGAAAACACAGCAGCAGATGACTGTGTGCAGGGCTAATCTCATTTTGGTTGCAAGCTGTCAGTGGCAAAGATAAGTTGTATTTATGGGGGATACCATGATCTGATGTCACAAGCGGTGACTTGATAAGTTTTAAATGCATTAAATTGGCAATTGTGCTGTTTTTGTAGCTGCCCAACAAGGTGGTTATGAAGCACAGTCTGGTTGGTTTGTCAGTTACAGGTTAGCATTAATAGATTTGTCAAGCAGGTCATTGAAGAAACATCCATTTATCAGTACACCTAAAATCACTGGATCTTTACTCCTAATACTTTAAACTCATATTTATCTCAGGACATCAACACATTCTTTTGTAGTCTTAAAAAAAGAAAAAGAAAAAGTCACTTACCTCAGGCTCTAGTTTGTAAGATGATGTAGACAATTTGTATGGTGCACAGCTAAGTGTGTTGTGTACTGTTTAAGTATTTTTATCTAGGGCTGTAAAGAGTTTACCATGAGTTGAAGTCTGACGTTTACACTGCTAACATGAGAGGCTTTATAGTGGGAGGGAGGGAGCTGTACCTGACTGCCAGACCCAGTGGGAGGGACTGTGGGACAGTTCATGTCAACCCTGTCTGCCCCACATGTCGAAAGTCAGGCCAAAAACATGCAGATAGTGTTTATGATTGAGTCCAAAAATAGTATGATTGCTTGTTAGTTTGTGTAAATCTTAATTCTGGTTCATTACTCCTCTGTTCTTGGAGAACATGTTGAAAAAAATGGCTTTGTCCATTTCAGCATTTTCCAAATTGACCTAAATAGCCTTTTCCTCCTTCTCTCTTTCAGAAGCTTATTTTTGTCTGTGCACATTGGAGACCCATGTACACCAAGTGTGCACCACATCCATTTACGTTTTTTTTTTTTTTTTTGTCTTGTCTAGAAACTGGTTGCTTAGGGGGGGTTAGTTCATTGGCCACGCATGCTTGAAGGCAGTTAAGTTGGGTATAAATGTAGTTAATAGCGGAAATATTTCTAAAGATGTGTGTTGATGGCTCTGTTTCAGACAGAGCTAACCACCTGTGATTTTAAATCGTTATAAAAAGCCAAGTATATTTAGATTAGCAGTGTGTTGTTATGGCAACTGCATGCACTGTGAAAGTTTCTGGAAGGAACATGTGCTTTAAAAGGAATCCTTGCACCTCCAGATGACCATATCAGTGGTACTTCAACTGTAGTTACTTCCAAGAATTCAAAAGGGCTGGGATTCTTAAGGTGTAAAGATTAACATGCAAAAAGTCTTTAGATATGAGAATTTGAGAAGCATCAGAAATGCAATAGCATATTGTACAAATTTGTTAAATTAACTTAATGTTTTACCTTTTGAAAAAACTGTTCAGACATTGCCTGTCTCTTGGTTCAGGGGCTGCGTCCTTCGAAGGACACAGTCTATGAATACAGTGCTTATGAAGCCCATGCCATCTGTAAAGGCCGAACAAAAATGAGACAGTCTAGTCTACAGAGGGTTCCCTATTTACGTTACCAACTGTTCTGCTTCTAACGTTGCATTACATTGTGCTGCTCCTGTCATCTGGTAACCTTGGCAGCTGCTTTGCATTTTGCCAGTTTGCAAATAATCTTGGGACAGGGTGGGCCACGAGGGATCCACCAGCTAGAGGCTTCGTTGCCCGGGGAAAGGAGGACACATTTCTCGGCCGTGTTTGAAGGAGCCTTTGAAATGGGAAGGCCTTGTTGCAATGCCGTGACGCAGTCAGTCTTCCAATGCAGCCTTCGAAGGCTGCGTCCCCTGAATTAGAGGCAACAGCTATTGTGTCCAAAGTCCTTCCAAAATTTTCCTCAGGCTGTAAAAATACATTTTTAAAAAATCGGCATGTCTAATGGCTTTAAGGTTATTCTTATCTTTACTAAGGGCTTGTAGATTTGACTGTTTGATAAATGTGTTGTATTTACGGGTGACAGTAGGGCTGTAGTGCGGTGTCAGAACATAAGGACAAACACAAAATTGTTGATTAACAGTCCAGAACCAAACAACATTTGATTATATAGAACAGAGAAAACCAAAAAACCTCACACCTGAGAAACTGTAGGCAGATGCCTGTGGGACTTCTATCAATTCAGTGTTAAAGGAGAACAGCTTTGCCGCTTTGGGCAAAATAAAGAAACATCTGCATGAAACCAGTAGAGTAAGAGTAAATAAGGTTCTGCATTTGATTGGCTTTATTTTATTATTCCCAATGTGGGCAGTAATACACACTTTTCCCTATCCCGTGCCATCATGTTTGATTTTGGAAAGAATCGTTTCAATGAGGGTTTGCTGGATAGGGTAAAATTTTTTAAAACTGTCTAGTCTTTTGAAATCAAAACATAAATTATGCTGTGCAAGCTCTTTGTGGTAATTTAAGTTTATAAACCCTTGATGGAACTTTTGGGATGTGTTTGAGTGAACTTCTTTCTAAAAAGGAACAACAACAAAAAAAGCTGCCACGACAGGGCTATGTTTGTAGCATGCTGTATGTGTCATTGGTAGTTGGCTCAACCAGACACATCCAGTTTCCCATATATCAGTATCTAGTCTTTTTAGCAGTGCTGTATCCAGTTCTCCAATAATACATTCGAGGTTTAGCCAGTCGCTCATAGTAGGCCATAATTTGTTTGGCCACAAACAGTATATTTTACTGACTTGGAACCAGATTCAAAATGGCTTTATTTCAAAATACTGAAACTGTCTGTGAATAAGCTTTTATGGCATTGTGGCTATGAGTTTTCTACCCCATCTGCTCTACATATCCTTTGTTTAACAGGAAACAAGCTTATAGCCTCACTCTTATTAGTCAGCAGAAATTAAATCCTGATCTTTGATGAACTGAATTGAAAATAATGGTTGTTTTTCCCAATTTGCTCAAAACCTTTTCCTTCAACTTGTGTTGACTTGCATACAGCTGTTGCAGTCCCAACCCACGTTACACTCACAACCACCAGTGCAGTCGTCATCTTCTGCACGTCTGCAGGCTACGTTTCTATAAGCAACTGTACCAGTGTATTGTCTGTTTTGATATGACTTCATAAAACCCAGTCACACACAAAAGGTTTGATGGGTCTGTAGAAACTCATGAGTCATGCATTTAGGCACCTCAAATAGACACACACACACACACTGCTGTCATAGCAACAACACTGCACCTTTAAACCAAAAGATGACTCAGGGATCTTTGTTTTTACATGATTCTTTCTTGCTCTTAAATTTGTTGGCCTATATTCTTTTTTGTATACCAAATACACATAGACATACAGTATATAGACATTCATACAGAGACAAAACATATTGCTTTACATAGGCACAGAAAAACTGTCAGTGTTAACTAGAATGACCACTTCGCGGATGTATGCCTCTGCCAACCAGTCAAATTCACGGGTATGGAACAGAAGTGAGGTTGCTGACCATTGACCACCAAAATATAATTAGTTCATCATTGAGTTCAAGTGGACATGAGCCAATTTGAAGAAACTCCCTCAAGGCGTTTCTTGGATATCGCATAATTCCTCCAGCCGCGGCTATCACCGGTGCAGAGGCATAAACGTAATGAGCATCAAAAGCAGAATAAAACCGATTAAGACAAAATGAAGATATAAGTGTTTTAAAATTACATTCAATGAAAATAAAGACAAATAGACCAAAGAAAAGATCTGAAACATGATTATTTAGCAGTTACAGTGCAGTAAGTAAGTTATGTTGCCCTTAAGGCAAAGGTGCACTAGGCAATCAAAGGAACAAGAAAACACTTTTCACTTTAGACTAAAAGTGTAAAATCTGTCTGACCACCTTTGGTTTTGGATTTTTCTTTTTTTTATATATATTTGTTGTTCATATCAGTAGGCCAAGACCTTCTTTTTCTTTGAATTATCGTTGTAGGATTATCTTTTATATTACAAAATCAAGACAGTATGATGTTATGGATAGGCTACAGCTGAAACTGTGATTGATTTTCAAAGTCAGAGGTCAGTAGAGTACATTGTGAGCTCAGTACTGGCAGCCACCCAGTATGTGATATTATTAGGCATTTGGTGTCTATTTATAGTTACACATTTTGCTGTTTTTATTACAGCTGAGATTTTAAAAAGGGAGGAATTACAGTATACATTTCTGATTATCTCTGCTGCCCTGGTATGTGATAGCATGATGCTTTCTTCGTGAGACTGAAAGGGAATACTCCCTAGAAATGTACCTAGGGATTTACACTTGTCTAAATGTGAGGCCCAAGCATTCCTCGTAGCTCCTTTCCAAACAGAAAAATATTGTGCGCATTTGTTTTGTGTGGAAAAATACAAGATCAGATATTTATCCTTTACAAGCGGAAAATATGTTCGCCCCAGGGAAGGGCAATGTTCCATGTATGCTTGACCGACATGGTTAAAGAGAAATAACAGAATGATCTCAGCTATAGCAGGTTATTGGGTGCTTTAGCAATCTGATTTTCAAATTGTCTTATTTTATTGTATTCGATTACCAGTAACCTGTGTGTGTGTTTCTGGGTTCAGTTCTGTACCACAGCTCAGTTGTTACCCTGTCAGAAGGACACAGGTATGCACTAAACTACACTCGGAATATATAGGTATTAAATTGTGGGAGTTAAACAATTTTACAGAATCACTGCTATTTAGTAACTTTTATATAAGACTTTTAACTAAGGTGAAACCTTTTTTGTCACATGGTGATTTGGAGAAGGCGATCCATGCATTTGTCATCTCAAGGTTGGATTATTGCAGTGCTCTGTATATTGGAGTTCCTCAGTCTTTGCGCAACAAACTACAATTAGTCCAAAATGCAGCAGCTCGGCTACTATCTAATGCTCCCAAGTTTGCTCATATTTCCCCTATTCTCTGTGCTATTCACTGGCTTCCAATCCAATTCAGAATTAAATTCAAGATATTATTGTTTGTTTTTAAGGCTATTCACGGACTTGCACCATCTTATTTGTCTGACCTGTTGGCTATTTATGTGCCGCAGAGAGCTCTCCGATCAACTGATCAGTTGTCACTGGTGGTCCCGC